GTTTTATCATTCGTTCTTACTGTTGTTAGAATAAAAGGGCAAGATTTCTTCATAGAGGGTATATTTATTTTATCTAACAGTTCCAATAAGTGGGTATAATTGAAGCAAAGAGGAGAGGAACGTGCACCGGCGTCGAACCTATCGAGTCTACTTAGATGAATAGCAATAAAATGAGCGACGATCCCCATCAAGTAGCCGAGGAGCTTCTAAAAAACAAGAAGTTCCTCAGCATCTTCAAACGTGCCTTAGCGTCCGGAAAGGGCGAGAAGAATGAGGATTGGATGGCCCAAATGCCCCAGGAGGGCGATCCCAAGCGCGAGGTTTGGCTTCGCAAGCTTCAGGACGCCCTACGACAAGAAACCCTGAAGGAAACGACGCAGGAGCTGGAGAAAATCCACAGCGACGAGAAGGGCCAGTGGATGTACATCCTGCCCGAGCCGGGGTTCTGCATCAAATGCCTCACGACCGGGGGGGGTAAAATCTTCATCAACGTCTGCAAACACGCGCGAATCGCGGAGCCGGTCCCGATCCCCGCGGCCGAGCTCGACCCCGCCGACGGCGACGCCGCGCACTTCCGCATCCCCCTCAGCTGCGGCCCCGCCCGCCCGGCGAACGACAAGGGCGGCCACCCCTGCAAAGTCTACGACGTCATCGTGAACCCGACGACGATCGCGCGGTGCGGGAAGGAGACGGAGTTCCGCCGCTTCGTCGCGGCCCTTTGCATGCAGTGGATTAAGCAGAAGTCCGAGCCGACGCTGAACGCGGAGGAGTTCCGCCATCTGAATTTCACGGCGAAGGGGACGCTCGAGCCCCAGCGCATCCGCCTGACGACCGCGCCGATGGCGAAAAACGCGCTGAACGACGAGATCCACCTCCCCGCGAAGGGTCACGGGCCGACCGCCCCCACCCACCTCGGGGGATCCGGCGGCGCCCGCAAACTCGTCGAGGAGGTCGCGCCCTCCGAAAAGGCCTTTGGCGAGGCCAACCCCGAGGGGGAAAAGGGCGAAACGAACGAGGAAAACGCCCCGGAGGTGCGTTCGCTGCGGGCGGAGGGCCACTACGACTGGTCCGCGCACGCGCGGCCGCTGTTGAGTCCGTTTTTTCGCGAAAACGTCCCGGCGCGGTACGCCGTGGAGCTTTTCCTCCCCGGCGTGCGGTCCATCCGCGAGGTCTGCGTGAAGGCAAGCGCGAAGCGGCTGGAGTGCTTCCACAGCGACGACGACGCCGCGGAGGAGGGGAGGCCGCCTTTTTTGAGCGTTCTTTTCGATTACCCCGTGAATGCGGACCCGATCGAGGCGAAATTCCTCCGCGCGCGCGCGCTTTTGCGCGTCGCCTTCGCGGTGGCGATCCCGGACGAGACGTCGGCGCCCCGCACGCGGCCCGACCGCGACGCCGCGGAAGTCGAGCGCGAGGCCGACGCCGAGGCCGCGCGGGCGCACGAAAAGGCCTG